TAAATATAAAATCAAAAACGATAAAGATCATGGAAGAAAAATTACAGACAACGCTAGGAGCGCTAATACATGGCATAAACACAGTACGAACCATAAGTAACAGTGCACAAGCACTAGAAGAGAGACTAGATAAATGGAAGCTTCTAAAAATCAAACACTTATGCTCATCAAAAGACTTCCCCAAAAGAGTAAAAAGACAGCCTACAGACTGGGAAAAACCTTTTGGCTATGACAAATCCAATCAGCATCTAATCTGTAAAATCTATAAGATACTGCAAAACCTCAACAACAAAAAGACAAATAACCGAATTAAAACATGAGCAAAGGATATGAACAGGCACTTCGCCAAAGAAGATATTCATGTGGGCAACAGACATGTGAAGAAATGCTCACGATCATTAGTCATTAGAGAAATGCAGATCAAAACTACAATGAGCTATCATCTCACCCCAACAAGGCTAGCATTAATCCAAAAAACACAAAATAATAAAGGCTGGAGAGGTTGTGGAGAGACTGGAACACTTATACACTGTTGGTGGGAATGTAAAATGGTACGACCACTTTGGAAATCGATTTGGTGCTTCTTTAAAAAGCTAGAAATAGAAGTACCATATGATCCAGCAATCTCGCTGCTTGGAATATATCCTAGAGAAGTAAGAGCCATAACATAAATAGATACATGCACACCCATGTTCATTGCAGCACTGTTCACAATAGCAAAATGATGGAAACAACCTAGGTGCCCATCAATGAACGAATTGATAAACAAATTATGGTATATCCATACAGTGGAATACTACACAATAATAAAGAACAACGATGAAGCCATGAAACGTCTTATAACATGGAGGAGTCTGGAGGTCATTACGCTGAGTGAATTTAGTCAGTCACAGAAGAACAAATATTGTTTAAGACCACTATTATAAGAACTCAAAAAAAGGTTTAAACACAGAAGACAACATTCTTTGATGGTTACGAGGGTGGTGAGGGAGAGTGAGGGTTATTCACTAACTGGACAGTAGACAAGTTTTATCTTAGGTGAAGGGAAGGACAGCACACACTACAGGGGAAGTCAGCACAACTGGAGTAAACCAAAGCTAAGAAGTTTCCTGAATACAATCAAACACTTTGAGGGACAGAGTAGCAGGGGTAGGTATCTGGGGACCATGCTTTCAGGGGACATCTAGGTCAACTAGCCTAACAAAGCTTATTAACAAAATTTTCTGCATCCTACTTTGGTGAGTGGAGTCTGGGGTCTAAAAGCTTGCAAGTGGCCATCAAAGATGCATCAGTTGGTCCCAACCACCTGGAGTAAAGGAGAATGAAGAACACCAAAGACACAAGGAAAGTATTAGCCCAAGAGACAGAAAGGGCCACATAAACCAAAGATTTCATCAGCCTGAGACCAGAAGAACTAGACGGTGCTTGGCTACCACCAGTGTCCCCCTGACAGGGAACACAACAGAGAGTCCCTGATGGAGCATGAGAAAGGTGGGGTGCAGAACTCAAATTCTAGTAAGAAGACCAGACTTAATGGTCTGACTGAGACTGGAGGAACCCCGGAAAGCATGGCCCCTAGATTCTCTATCAGCCCAGAACTAAAACAATTTCCGAGGCCAACTCTTTAGACAGGGATTGGACTGGACTGTGGGACATAAAGTCATACTCGTGAGGAGTGTACCTCTTGGCTCAAGTAGATACAAGAGACTAAACTGGCAGCTTCTGTCTGTAGGTGAGATGGGACGGCAGAGAGGGTTAGGAGCTGATTGAATGGACATGGGGAATCGGGTGGAAAGGAGGAGTGTGCTGTCACGGTATGGGGAGAGCAATTAGGGTCACATAACAATTTATGTATAAATGTTTGTATGGGAGACTAACTCGAAATGTAAACTTCATCTAAACTACAACGATTAAAAAAAAAAAAAAAGGCTGTAGATCTTTACGGAAGCAGATTACCACATCTTTCTCCTGCAGAGTGGCTGGTGGGCTCGAATCTCTGACCTTTTGGTTAACAGCCAAGTGCTTAACTGCTGTAATGCACCTCATGTGCTAATATTAAGGAGCCTTGGTGGCACAGTGGAAACTGGTGGCATAGTGGTTAAGAATTTGGCTAGTAACCAAAAGGTCAGCAGTTCAAATCCACCAGGTGCTCTTTGGAAACCCTACAGGGCAATTCTTCTCTGTCCCATGTGGTCACTATGAGTCGGAACGGTCTCAATGGCAGCAGGTTGTTTTTTTTTTTTTTTTGGTTTTGGTTTGTAAACTGATGAGGCTTTATGAAATAGTAGAGAGAGATTAAATTGTTGTCTGTTCTTCCAAAGCAAGTAAGAGTCTGCCATAAGCATACCACTTCATTTTTATACTCAGCCACGGAATGACTGTGGTACTCTGTGGTATCAGTGTTCTTCTCTTCAGGGTCCAATATATTAAAGTAGACCAAGAAGATTCGAGCGCACTTTTAACTTATTTTGGCCTCCTATCTTCTCCTTTTAGCCTGGTTTTGCTTCCCACTTGCATAAGTCCCCTTTGGGGACATTCTTTAAAAATACAAGATCACTGGAATTGATTACTGTATACCATGACTCGGGTGCTAAAATAATCCATCCATTGGTTCTGTGACGCTCATTCCCAGGTGGACCTCCTTCCAAATCTCTTTGAAAAGAAGGCAAGTGAGGGCGCTGCTGCTGGCATTTGCTAAATGGTGGACTTTTACAAGACTCCATGCTAATGTAAAGCTTAATTTTAAGAGTTTCTAAATATGATCCGCAGGATATTTAGAAGTAATGTATTCATGTGCCATAGAAGGAGGAATTATAAATGCATCAAGCAAGAATAGTGGTCCAGTTACCTGGGGATCTGGCAGCTAAAGCTGGCTAATTCTGGTGACACCCTGTCGTCATTCTCCCTCTGTCCTGAAACCCCAACAGCCTTGCCCCACTTCTTCACAAAGATTTAATTGCAGGGAAGTAAGTTAAGGGCTGATTTAGAAGAAATTCATTACTTTTCCCAAATACACCACAGAGCATTCTCCTGTGTATACTATCAAGTTACATAAATAATTGAAGCTGAACTAACCTTGTCAAAGTAAATGAACAAAATACACTTCATAGCACAGAGTCCTTGATTTTATTACATTCATTTGCTAATTCACAAAACTCAAATCTGTAGTGAAAGGAGGCCAACAAATTGGTACAGTGTAAAGAGCACTGAACTGGGAATCAGACCACCTGGATGCCAGGCTCAGCTCTGCCAGCAGCCGGGCAACCTGGGCAAGTCCCTAGTCTCTCTGCGCTGCAGATTTCTCATTTAGAAAATAGGAGAGATGGACACAGTAATCCCTAAGGACCTTTCCAACAATAATGTTTTTCTACATATTCTATGTATTTCCTTTATATTTTTTTATATATTATCCTGAAACAGCATTATGCTACTCATATAGGTCAATGCCATCTCTTTAAAAATATTTCAAATGTATTTGCTGCCTCCAATTCCTAAACTTCCATTCTCTCATGGATCCTTTTCAACTAGGCTTCTGCTTCCAATCCTCCAGAACTGCATTTTTCAAAGTTTCCAGTGGCCTCTATGCTGTTCTGTCCATCAGTCTTTTCCAAGCACTCATCTTGATCCATCAGCAGAATTCAACCCAAGTGACCACTACCTCCCCCTTGTAACACTTCCTTCACTTGCCTTCTAGGACACAATTCTCTCATGGTTTTTCTTTTGCCTCCTTAGACTCTCCTTTTCCGTCTTCTTTGCTCATTTCTCCTCATCTGCCATAGTCTCACTGTCTGAGTGCCCTGGGGCTTAATCCTCAGATCTTCCTATCTACATACATTCCCTAGAGCCTAAGCAATCTCATCCAGTCTCATGATTTAATATCACTTATATACTGGTGACAGCCTCCAAATTTATATCTCCAGCCCTATCTTCCCTGACTCCAGACTTGCATCTCCAACTGACTACTTAACATCTCCATTTGACAGTCTAGTAAGCATCTTATTATTACCAAAACTGAACTCTGATCTTTTCCCCCAGAGTGGCTGCTTCATGTTGTCTTTCCTTTGTCAATAAAGGGCAGTCGCACTCTTCTAGTTGATGAAGTAAAAAACCTTGGAGCTGTCCTTGACTACTCTTGTTTGGTCACACTCCCTATCCAATTCTTCCACAGACATAGTTGGTGCTGCCTTCAGAATATACCCAGAATCATATCACTTCTCACCTCCTCCACTGCTATCACCCTGCCCTGCATCACTCACTGTCTTTTTCCACCTGTGTTTTCCAATAGCTTCCTAGCTAGTTTGCCTGCCTCTGTTCTTGCCTCCTTGGAGTGTGCTCTTGCTTCTTCCTCTTTCTACATTTTGTACTTGCTCTTCCTCTAGTTTACATGCATGACTTGCCCCCTCACCTCCTTTGGCACTCTGCTCTCATGTATCTGATCAGGAAAGCCTTCACTGACCTGCTTCCACCACAGCACTTCTGGTTTTTCTTCCCTGCTTTATTTTTCATTATAACACTTATCACTGTTTAATATGTTGTATATTATACTTGCTTGGTTATTTATATTATCTGTCTCCCCAGCTGAAATCCACGAGGACGTGGACTTCTTTTCATTCTGGTTTGTTCACTGCAGGATTCTGCAATATCTAGAACAGTGTGGGGCTCAATAACTATTTCTCCAATGAATGAATGAATGAAAGGCATGACGAAAGGGGAAAGTATGTTGTTTTTAAATCTGAGTTAATAGTTCTAGATCAGAAAAATGTAAGAGTCAACTGAGATGTGGTTTTGAGGGGAAAATCAGGCTATTCTATCATATGTGTGTACCCATGTATGTAAAATGTGTATGTGATTGTGAACACTGGTCATTTCAAATACCAACACATACCGTAATGCTTGATGTGTTGGATGTCCAGAATTTCATGTCAATCTCTATTTTTAAAAGAAAAGACTATAAATGCATCTATAAATATATAAATGAAAGCTTTTTGTTCTATTCACAGTGTCTTCTATTTTTACCATCCCAAATGTAAGATTGCAACCAGAAACTGGAGAAAGCATGCGGGCCTTTGGAAAAAACAATAGTTACGGCAAAAGTCTATCAAATAGCAAGCACTGACAAGCACAGAGTTCTCAAGAAAGTGCAGGTAAGATAACCTGTTTCACTTGGAAAGTGATATTGAATAGATGCTGAATAGATATTTTAAATGAAATATTGCAGACTATTTTTTCCCAAGTATCTCATGAGTCTCTTATATTTATTATGGCATTCATCATAGATGCTACTGAGGCAGAATGGAAGTTAGTCACATCCATATATTCAGGCATCTACTGGATTCTAACCAATATTGCATTTTACCTTACCTTTCTATGTGTTTAGTCACAAGAAGATCACTACTCACTCATTCTTCATTGAGGTTAGAACAGGATTACTCTCTAAGCCACAGACATGCTCTGTTTGGTCCACACAGGTTTTTTTGTTTGTTTGTTTGTTTTTTGTTTTTTAAATTAGTTGCTAGCATTTAAAAACGAGATTTTACATAAAAGTCTGGATCTCTGACTTTTTTTGAAAAAGCAGGAACTCTGGCAGTACTGCATTCAAAACTTCCAGAAGTTTTTGTATGTAACTGAGTTGTGGCTGTCTCCTTTGGGGAGGACTTATGCACTAAAGTTTAGCTCAGTTGCCACCTGGGCCACTTCACTCATTTCTGATCCCTGCCTGACCCCTAGTAGAGACCTTATCGTGAAGAGGTTTTTCTTTTTTACTATCCTACTCTTTGACCTCTACCATTCCACAGATAAGAAGCATAATCTAAACATAGCAACCTGTGGGCACGTTAGCCTGTCCCTGGCATCACACGTGCTTCATAGTAATGAGCGTCAGATGGCAACATCAGAGAAGTCTGTGTTTGTCTTTACTGACACATAGAAATGGTTGGGTTTTTTGGAATTTTATGCCTACATATATCCTTTCCTTCCATATAGTATAACTCTGAAACAAATAGAGAACAAACTTTTCACGTGCCATTCCATAAAGACAAGTGCATGCTTATACCTTGCTCTTGTGGGTGTTCAGTAATGAACTGTTTAAGTGAATTGAAGGAGATGCACAGCATTGCAGGAGCTCATCGTCCTTTCTCCCTGCCTTAATTTGAACTATGTTAATGCGCTAAATTGATACCATGGCAAGGAGAGCAAATTACTGGGTGATTTGCCAGTATTGTGAGCTATTTCTAGACCTCAAGTTTGCACACATTCAAGGTGAGGGCCATTTTAGGCCTCTCAAGAATATGATGGTGATTTATGAATAATTTTAAGATAAAAGATCCCCAGATGAAAGGTGGTGTGTAAACGCTGTTCGGAAGCTATTCTTACTAAGTTGCCATGCTATAGGTAAGAGTAAGGGTCTTCATTCTTCAGGATGTTGTTTCTCCCGATTGGGTAAAAAGAATCTAGAAGCACAACTTCACTCACTCGGTAGCATTTGCGCTCCCATTCTGAATTTCGGTTGGTCAGACAAAGACTGGAGCTGTTTTTGACCAGTTAGCTCCTGGATCTGAGAATTGTTTCAATTCATGAGGGTGGCAGTATCTGCTTTTTAAAGTATTTAACCTGCAATACCGTAATGAGGGCCTCCACCCAATTCAGTAGAACAAAACAAAAAGTGGACTTTATTTATGCTGCTGCTGTATACACACAGGCACACAGGCAAGCTTGAATTTCAGTCGCAGGGGCTCCGTCCTTTCTTCTCGGTCTTTGAGATCTCACTACTGAGCCTGGCCAGTCGAAGCCACTGGAAAGTGTTTCATAGCAGCTTCTCCTAATAAAATCAGACCAAGCTCACTGGACAGAAGCATTGCCAATTAAAAAAAAAAAAAAAAAACATTGCTGTTGACTCATAGCAACCCTATAGAACAGAGTAGAAATGCCCGCACAGGGTTTCCAAGGAGCAGCTGGTGGATTCCAGCGCCGACCTCCTTTTGGTTAGCAGCTGTAGGTCACTGTAGCTCTTAACCACTGTGCCACTAGGGTTCCATTACCAATAAGATCTCTAAAATTGCCAGTTGAAAAGAGAGTTTTAAAAGGGGGTTGAGAACTAACCATCAGTATTTGAAAGCCTTTACAAAAATATATTTTCTTTGCAGTTTTTTGTTTAAAACACTAGATTTAATATTATGTCTCCATGGTGGAAACTATCCCTTTAGATTTTGTAACAATACAGATATTTTCTCTGAGTTTTGCCTTTTTCACATCAACTTTTATAGCTTTCATAGTATTATAATTGTTATGGTTTTGGTTGTTGTTTTCTTCCAAATCTAAACATTTCAGGTTGATTGAACATTACTGTTGAGGAGACATCTAATTTTTGTGTGTGTGTGTGTGCTTTAGGTGAAAGTTTACAGTGCAAATTAGTTTCTCATTCAAAAATGTATACACAGATTGTTTTGGGGCATTGGTTGCAGTCCCCACAATGTGTCGGCACGCTCCCCCTTTCCACTCTACGTTCCCCATGTCCATTCATCCAGTTTTCCTGTCCCTTCCTGCCTTCCCAAATTTGTTCTGGGGCAGGTGTTGCCCATTTGGTCTTGTATACTTGATTGAACTAAAATGCACATTCTTCACGTGTTATTGTTTGTTTCATAGGCCTGTTTAATCTTTGGCTGAAAGGTGGACTTCAGAAATGGCTTCAGTTCTGAGTTAGCAGAGTGTCCGGGGCCATAGTCTCAGGGGTTCCTCCAGTCTCTGTCAGACCAGTAAGTCTGGTCATCTTTTGTGAATTTGAATTTTGTTCTACATTTTTCTCCTGCTCTGCCCAAGACTCGCTATTCTGATCCCTGCTGGAGTGGTCGATGGTGGTAGCCGGGCATCATCTAGTTCTTCTGAACTCAGGCTGGTGGAGGATGTGGTTCATTAGCCTTTTGGACTAATATTTTCCTTATGTCTTTGGTTTTTTCATTGTCCTTTGCTCCAGACATGGTGGGACCAATAGATGTATCTTAGATGGCCACTCACAAGCTTTTATGACCCTAGATGCTACTAGTAGGATGTAGAACATTTTCTTTATGAACTATGTTATACCAGTTGACCTAGATGTCCCTCAAGACTATAGTCCTCAGCCCTCAGCCCCAGCAACTTGGTCCCTCAAGGTGTTTGGATGTATCTAGGAAGCTACTGTGACTTTGCCTTGGTTAAGTTGTTCTGACTTCCTCTATATTCTCTGTTGTCTTTCCCTTCACCAAAGTTAACACTTGTCTACTATCTAGTTAGTCATTTCCTTCCCTCACCCCTCCCCTCCCTCATAACCAAAGATTGTTTTTTTCTGTGTGTAAACCTTTTCCTGAGTTTTTATAGTAGTGGTCTCATACAGTATTTGTCCTTTCATGATTGACTTATTTCACTTAACGTAATGCCCTCCAGATTCATCCATGTTTTGGGGATGTTTCGCAGAGTCATTGTTCTTTATCGTTGCATAGTATTCCATTGTGTGTGTGTACCATAATTTGTTTGTCTGTTCATCTGTTGATGGGCACTTAGGTTGTTTCCGTCTTTTTGCTATTGTGAATAATGCTGCAATGAACATGGGGGTGCATATGTCTATTTGTATGATGGCTCTTATCTAGGATGTATTCCTAGGAGTGGGATTGCTGGATCATATGGTACTTCTATTTGTAGCTTTTTTAAGGAGGCACCATGTCATTTTCCATAGTGGTTGTACCATTTTACATTCCCATCAGCAATGCATAAGAGTTCCAATCTCCCCGCAGCCTCTCCAACATTTGTTATTTTCTGTTTTTTTTTGATTCATGCCAGTCAATAATGTCGGAGTGAGATGGTATCTCATTGTAGTTTTGATTTGTGTTTCTATAACGGCTAATGATCAAGAGCATTTCCTGTGTCTGTTAGCCACCTGAATGTCTTCTTTGGTGAAGTGTCTGTTCATATCCTTTGCCAATTTTTTAAATGGATTATTTGTCTTTTTGTTGTTGAGGTGTTGAAGTATTTTATAGATTTTAGAGAATAGACCTTTGTTCTGTATGTCATAGCCAAAATTTTTTTTCAAGTCTCTAGGTTCTCTTTTTACTCTTTTGGTGAAGTTTTTTGATAAGTATAGATGTTTAATTTTTAGGAGCTCCCAGTTATCTAGTTTATCTTCTGGTGTTTGTGCATTGTTAGTTATGGTTTGTATTGTATTTTTGCCATGTTTTAGGGCCCCTAGCATTGTCCTATTTTTTCTTCCATAATCTTTATTGTTTTAGGTTTTATATTTAGGTCTTTGATCCATTTTGAGTTAGTTTCTGTGTATGGTGTGAGGTATGGATCCTTTTTCACTTTTTTTTACAGACTGGCATCCAGTTTTGCCGGCACCATTCGTTAAACTGTCTTTTCTTCATTTAATAGACTTCGATCCTTTGTCAAAAATCAGCAGACTATAGGTGGCTGGATTTATGTCTGGGTTCTTGATTCTGTTCCATTGGTCTACGTGTCTGTCATTGTTCCAGTACCAGGCTGTTTTGACTACCATAGCTGTATAATAGGTTCTGATATCAGGTAGTGGGAGGCCTCCTACTTTGTTCTTTTTCTTCAATAATTCGTTGCTTATTTGGTGCCTCTTTCCTTTCATATAAAGTTGGTGATTAGTTTTTCCATCTTGTTAAAGAATGCTATTGAAGTTTGGATCCAGATTGCATTATATGTATAGATGACTTTAGGTAGAATTGACATTTTCACAACGTTGAGTCTTCCTATCTGCGATCATGGTATGTTTTTCCATTTATGTAGGTCTCTTTTGGTTTCTTACAATAGTTTTCTTTGTATAGATCTTTAATGTCCCTGGTTAGATTTATTCCTAAGTATTTTATCTTTTAGGGACTATTATAAATGGTATTGTTTTCCTTACTTCCTTTTTGAAGTTCTCTTTGTTGGTGTATAAGAATCCAACTGATTTTTGTATCTTGATCTTGTATCCTGCTGCTCTGCTGAATCTTTCTATTAGTTCCAGTGGTTTTTTTGTGGAATCTTTGGGATTCTCTATGCATAGGGTCACATCATCTGTCAATAGGGATAGTTTTACTTCTTGCTTTCCAATTTGGATGCCCTTTATTACTTTTTCTTGCCTTATTGTTCTAGCTAGGACTTCCAGTACAGT